GTAGGGGGGGGGGGGGGGGGTTCAAATTGAAACGGACCACAACGCTCCGGCAACACTCCTCCTGTCCGGCACCTCGCTGCTGCCGTCGACGCTCGTGCGTAGCCGACTTCATGTATCGCTGCCCGGGTATGCTGCTGCTGCTGCTCCTCTTGCAACTCTTTGGCATCAGATTGCTTTCCACTTTTCTTGCCGTGAGCTCCATGCCGCCGCCAACCATAAACACAGAATAGAAGTCTTCCTCGACAGTTACAATAGTTACGGTTAACGTCAGGGGTAGGGGAGTTGCGTACGCGACACTGACCGTGGGACGAAAGACAGTCATACAATGCTCCAAGCGAGTGGACGGGTGTGTGGCCTGGATTACTGAACAACACGGTGTGGGTGGGGCAAGGCGTATCGAGGGGGAGTGAGTGAGTATGCACTTGCTGAGCGATCGAACAATTAATAAATTTTGATCTTCTTGTGCAATAATAAATAGAGTCAAGTGCCTATACTACGAGCAAAGAGAGGCACACCGAGGAACTTCCTCTCGAGAAGGGGGGGGCATCACGTTGCCCGCGCATGAACTGACTGCCTTTGAGTACATGCGAGTCGATCCGCACTGTTACCGCGCACTGCAGCACGCCCGAAACCCCCGTAGACTGCCTTCGAGCGAAGCGAGTCACAAGTTACTGTAACCGCACACTGCTGCACCCCCGAAACCCCGTGAAGTGCCTCCGAGCAGAGCGAGTCACACACCACTGCTGTAGCGGCACACTGCAGCATGCCCGAAACCTCGTGAATGTCTCCGAGCGAAGCGAGTCACCCCGCACTGTGACCGCACACTGCACCACGCCCAAAAACCCGTGAAGTGCCTGCGAGTGAAGCTAGTAACGATGCCACTCGCACCTACTCCAAACCGATTTACATCAACAATACACACCAAACCAGTCTATGAATTTTATGAAAACAGAACGAATGCTGTACAAAAATCAATTCGACCGCTCCTGCAGCTATGGGAAATCGAAATCGGAAAGTGATATGACCCGTCCCGAGTCTAAAGAAGGTCTCGTAGCGTCTTGCGCCGTAGGCTGTGCATTTGCGTTGTTCAATCAGCAACTGAAATTCTCTCACAGCAACTCATCGACGTATTATCTTGTGTGTAACCCATCCCACGAAGTATTCACTTGCCATACATTGCACCAACCCCCCACTAGTGATGACGTACCATTTACCATGTATCGCTGGTTGGTGGCCATGTTTGCGTGTTTGCTTGTTCGTTCGTTCTCCGCCGTGTGCCTTATTCTGTCTCATATTTCTTGTTATTTTCGGCCTGGTCTCTTCTTGTCCTCGCTCTTTTTTTTTTTTTCTTAATATGACACAACGAATCCATCTCTCATAGAAAAGAGTCTGAGATAGATTAGCAATGAATTCATAGCGTCAGAAAGTACCTGTATGTCTACGGTTTCCCAGACAGCGTATAGGGACATCTCCCCTGCGGGTAACAGGCTCAACAAGACAGTTTGGTAGCTGTCTTGTGTGTCTCATATATGTTATGTTGGGAAGGTGCAGAGGATATGTGTTAGGTACTGGTCGGGCGTTTTGTGTGTGGCACCCTTTTAGTCGTAGGGCATGCAATCTCCCTCAGTTTTCAAACGTATTTTCAGTGTGGTACGCGTATGTACCGGGTATGTATATGTGTGGACACATTTCGGCGCATGTGCGGACACACGGGAGTGGTCTCACCATTTTCTTACTTTTTGTGTAATTTCGTGTTGTTAGATGTGCAAAAGGCACGGGAGAACATTCTTTCATCATTGCCTCCTGACGTGGTCGCCGATAGAGGCGTGTGGTTGAGGTTTCATTACCGACATGTGGGTGTATGTTGAATGCAGTGGGTTGGTTACCTATCTCGCCCGTGTGTAGGCAGAAGGTATGGCTACCTCTCCCATTAGTAGGCAGCGTGGACCACAAGTAAAGACAGGGTCGATCATTTCATGTATGCTACGTCATTTGTATTTGGCATGAGAGGAATAAGAGGTTGTTCTAGTTTGTAAGCAATTTTGACGGTGTATGGGCAGGGGGAGTACTCCCTTTGTCCGTGTTGTACCCAGGTGTTGTCGCATCAGTTGGCAGCATGTGTCATGGACAGGTAGACGTGGAATGGCGGCGACAGGTGAAGGCAGCTGCAGTATGTTGTGCATGGTGGCATGTTGGGCTTGTACATAGCGTAGTCGATCCTTCGACCACACACACACAAAGGAGCGCAGTCCATCCTTCGACCACACATAAAGGAGTTTGTTCCTACCTGTGGGGATTTTCGGAGTCCTGGGTCAGCCAAGAGCAGCAGTAAGGAGCAGACGCAGTATGCTACTACAGCTCTACAGTCCGTCCTCCTCAAGTCCTATCGGAAATGATTAGTATCGCACAACGGCTGGATCCGAAATGCCGGCTAGCTCCGCAATCCAAGAGAGGTGGGTAGCTGAGCTAAAAACGGAATGACTGCATGCGTGCTCCTCTCAGCAGATATAGATGTGGCTAGCTGGCTCTTTGAAGTGCAGATTTCTGGTTCAGCGGAATTTGTCGGAATTCCCAATTTTTCCGTTGTCACCTGGGTGTACGGGAGTTTTTTCATGAAAGGTGCACAGAAATTGATTATCCTAATTGCAAGGGACACGTTTCATTTTCAGTGTTCCCCCTTGCGGTTTCGACGGTCTTTTTCTATTTTGTTTTCTCTTTTCTTCCTGTTTCCTTTTATTTTTTTCTCTTTTTCTCTTTTTTCTCATTGTCGCTCTTTTTTCTCTCTTTTTCTGTGTCAAGATGGCCTTGTCTCTGCTTGCGTGTGAAGCACCAAGATTGAACCAAGGGGGTGTACCTCTTTCTCTCTGGCCCGTGATGCTGACTCCTAGTCTCAGTTGTTATCTCGCACAGCGCGCAGAGGGAGCGGAGGACTCCAGAATATCTGTCGTTGATTTCTATTGACTTGCGGACCCCTCGGGGCCAGTTTGTTTGAGCGTACCTTTTTAGGATACGTTAGCCTGTGACCACGGGAATCGACCGCCGCGTCAAGTGTTGGATCAGTACGGACATATGAAGAGAGAGATCGGAACGGTTTTTAATATGAAGACAACAACAATAACAGTCTTGCGTCTAGCCAATGAGCTTGTATGCATAGATCTGAGGTCATACAGGATAGTTCCTCAGCAGCTGTATGTTGCCGAACAGGCGCATTCTACAGCAGTATGCGTATCATGCACGAAGTGCGGAATCGAATGCTGCAAAGTGGTCCACCTAATTTTCAGAAGCGTATCCTATTACAAGGCTTTTCTCCGGAGTGTTAAGAGAGCACCGCGGCAGGGGGTGATGTAAGAACATGCAAAAAGTAAACAGAGGAAAAACAGATGCTCGTAGATAACATTATGACAGACTAAAAGGGTTCGTGACATTGTTGGGAGCTCGGCACGAGAGTTTTCGTCCATGAAAGATCCCTCTGTAGAAATTTGGCTGCAAGAACACCACGCGAACAATTTTGTTTGTTTCGCCTGCGTGCAGATCTCTTGAGGGCATCCGACCCTCGTGCCTATAGAGCTCGCCCTTCTCTGCGCCTCTACACCCAATATTCTGAACCTGAGGCTCAGCGGTCTGTACGGTGTGTATTGCTCCAGCGTTGCTCTGCACCTCTGCTGACACCGCCACGGTATGGGTCGACTGCTGGAAACTACATGTTTCTGCTTGCTGCCTTAGTCCAGCAGTCGGAATCACGCATGTGTATGTATGTATGTATAGTCTTGGTATGTGTGCCGCATGCGCAAATACGTATGTGCGTCCCAACAACGGAGAGAAGAGGCATGCGGCGGTAGTAGACCACGACAGACGGACCCATTATTTCTCGGACTGTGCGGAGTTCGAAAACCCTCTCGTGCCCCGCCCGCACGTACAGGCGGACACGCTCGCTCCGTAGCCGCTCTGACAGCTGCCGCGTCAACGCTCAGCTGTTGGCATGTGCTGATATGCTACTGCTGTTCAACTTCAGAAACAGCTGTTCTGCCGTTTTTGTTGCGTGGCCAATCAGTCAGCCAAAGAGAATCAGTTCATAGTCTTCTTACAGCCCGATTTCTCGAGATTCTGGGGAAGGATTCACAAATCAATTTATTCATCGGAATTTGGATTCATATGCACAAGCCTGCGTTCCTCGGACCGCTTTTCACCAGTGACCAAATGGTGAAAGGAGCCGCCAGATTTTTAGATACAGTACGTCGGAAAACGCTCCTTTCAAAGGCTCCCTCGCTGTTGGCTCTGAGAACAACGTTTTGAAGGAACGTTCCTTCGTAATGAACCACGGGATAGATACGGTGGATGCTGAGGGAGGCGGCAAGCACAACATTAGAGGAGTATCGCGGATGACTATATATGTCAGTGGTGAGCGCTCTTGACAACTGCTGTCTGCTTGCTTGTCCGCCCTTCTGTTCGGTTCTCAGCGGAAAATCGGTAAGCAGTTGCGCAAGATCGACGAATTCCCGGAGGACGACCGTGGAGGGGACCCTGGCAGCGGACAGGTAAGCGAAGAGTACAGGGTGGGATGGATATTTTATCGTTTCTTCCTCGCGTCCTCGGTCCTCGGCCTCTCTATCTGGGCTTGTGAGACTTTATTGTTCTCTTTTTAGCATCTTCTGTGTAAGCACGAGCATGCAAATTGTACGTGGGCCTGTTTTGGTGACTTGTGCCTGTGTCCACTGTGTTGCCGATTTTGTTTTCGGGTACCTTGCTTGAAATGTGGCCACCATTGCCGAGGGTGCACACAGCGCGCGGGAATACGTGCATGCATACCATCCCGGAATACATGCCTGACTTTGTCACGCTCGGCATCGTGCACTCCTTCACCCGGCGTCATGAATTCAGTTTGACGACTCCGATGAAGGTTCAGGCACTAAAAAGTTCGCGGGGACTGCGAGAGATGAAGGGTTATTATTCGAAGAAAAGGAACCTGAGGATGACTTTAGGTCGTCCAAGTCGCAAGACGATAAATGGCAAGAGCAATGGTTTTCGCACGAAGACAAGAGGTTGGACAAGTTGGGCTTGGAGGTAAGGCAATGCAAAATTACAGTATTCCTGGGTTGGTAATTCGCTTGGCGGGGCCGGTGGTTTGCATGGCAATGCAAGACAGCGGCCTGCTTGAAAGAACGCAAGCCATAAGAGTTCGAGGCTCAGATATTTGAAAGAATGATAATTTCGGCCAAGGAATTGAGGTCATTTGCCCGCGACGCACTCTAAACCCTGGCACTTGCTCCTGTAGCTCAGCGATTTTACAAGTGTAAAAGCTTGTGTGTGTGGTGTTCAAACCTCCGCCCGAATGAGAGTGCTTCTGTTAAGCCGTGCTGTTTAGTCTGTGGTTTGTTTTCGAGAGTCGGTGACGCGCGCACGTGCATGTTGCCATTTTGGGTACCACTCTCGTTACTCAGTACAGCAGCAGATACCATGCCCTCACCCAAGACTTCCAGCTCACCCCTTCCCCATTGGGGTATGTTTTTGGGGGGTTACGTTGGTCTAACCCTTCCATTATACAACAGCCTGAAGGCGAAATGGGAGGAGACCTACCGGAGCTTGACGACTGTGAGGAAGATGACCACTTTGATCCTGACGATGAATGGGACGACGAGGCCTGGAAAGGGTACACTCCGGAGCAAATCGAAGAGTTCAAGATACTGGGCGCCAGACTCGAGGAAGAGGAGGTAAATCGTCTCTATAATAGTCTCCAGGTGCACACCGTTGCCGACGCCGTGATGTTCGTGTTGACTAACTTCACTAATTTCAAGTTCGCACGGTGCGCTTTTCGCACACATCCAAATTACTGCTGGAAAATGCGAACGCAGATTATTGAGAATGTGAACACCAAGAGACAACCACAGGTTACCAACCGATTGAGTCATGTGCCAACATGTGATGAATGTGAAATACGGTGCCACAGAGAAATGGTGCGGCAACCTTGAACAGGAGCAACATCTTCTCGGAAATTTGCACTCGGACTGCTTGTTAAGCATGACCGCCCCGCTGAACCTGGTTGTACCCTTCCCGTGCTGTCTTACCCCACCCCCATGGGGTATTTACAGAGCAAGCAGATGGCAGACTTGCGCAGGAGGTGGAAGGAGACCAAGGCGGACTCAGTGAAGAAACACGGAACTGCGGAGCACTTAGAATTACCGGATATCGTTATCAAGCACGAGATCACATACGAAGCACCTCCGGGGAAGGCCAACGCAGACCGCTCCATGCCAATACCACGCCCTGTGGTCAGTATTTTCATATCTTGTTCCGTTGTGGAATAGGGATGAGCTTCTCCTGCTTTGAAAGGGAAACCCTGGCCAATGTTCTTTTTTGTCGTATCGTGGAGACACTTGCTGTGCCGCGCTTAACGCTTAACCCTGTTGCCGTCGCACATTTTAATCCAGGAAACAATCGTCGACAGCATGCAGCTTCCCCCGGGCCTCGATGTGACGCCAGACGACCCAGAGTACGAGGAGGTGGTAAAGATGTGGATGACCGTGTCCCGCAACAACACCATGGACGAGGTGTGTCTTGCCGCCCAAACGCTCTGGACTTGGCCGTTGGCATTGCTTGAAACACAAAACAAGGATATCAATTTCGTGTTGGAACGAGCTAACGGCCTCAAATATCTACATAAGTGCTGCACGCGACTCCTCGTGCGCCTTAAGCCCCCCCCCCCCCCATTTAAAATTTATTAACCTTATAAATTTTTTTA